TCAGACAATACACGGAAGGCTGATGAGACAGTGTCGATGCGCATGCAAGTCCTCAGTACAGAATCATCGTTTGATAGATCTGGTAACGGAGTATAGCTGATTGAGAGCATGTTGAGCCTCCAGGGAAAGATGGCCATAGTTGAGGACACCACACCAGCTTCTGAGCCACTGTAGACGACGGTCCCTCAGTTGATTGCCCGTGGTAGCAGCTTTCTTCTTACCTCTTTTGCCTCTGTTGGGATTACAGTTGATGGAGTCATTGAGAGCCAGAGTGTAGGTGGCTCCAGTAAACTCCCTGCGGCTTGGCGTAGGCCGGTAGATCTTCGCACAAAGTTGGAGACCACAGGAGTCAGCGACCTTCCCAGGAGGTTGGGGCTTGACGCAATTGACGATAAAACCAGCACGTCGCTGTAGAATATCAGTGACGATAATAAACGCCCGGTTACTGGCGTCAATGTCACAACTGGCGATCAAGATATCGTCTTGAACATGTATGACTGAGGCCTTCAATCCGACTCTGGCAAGGGCCGGGTTAGTATCTCCATCCATGATAGTGGTCATTGCCAGTTAAAATTATAGGGGAGCCCATCGCCAGTCTTGAGCGAGGCTTCTTAACCTCTATACATACTGTTGGCCATTAGAGTTAATACTGACAGTGCCGGACAGCCGTGAGAGAGCAGTTGAAACGCGAAGAGCACCGTAGGCATCCTCGAGATGAACTTTACTCCAATAACCCGTGTGTTCACCCGGAATATCACGCAGAAGCACAATGGCACCGCGCTGATACTGCTTGTAGACGTGCTCCTCGTTACCCTTGCAACTGGTGCCTTGAGCACCGTCGACCGGCATGAACAGAAAGGTAGCGTCAGCATCCACTAGTAGCCGAAAGTTGTTAAGTGGGCGACAGTCGATAGTAAGGCGATACCTCTTGAGCTGAGCATCGCTGAGAGGAAATGTACATTGCTTGGAAGTACGGTTCGACTGGTCCCACTTGTCGATCAGTACCGGTTGACAAACGACAGTGACATCCTTGTCAGAGGCCAGAGAGGCCTTACCGAGAGCAGACAT